ACATTTGATTTGTTTTGTTTCTTGTATTTTAGATCTTCTCTTAATGTCTGTAAAATCCCATTAATTGTTTCTACAGAGTCTCGTCTTTCTAATCTAGCTGTGCGATAGCAGGTTCTTCCTTGAACTTGAATTCCTGTGACTTTGCAATGCATTCAGCCAGAGAAGCCAACCTCTTTTAAACATAAATGACTAATAATAAAAGAAAATAAAAACTTCAGCAATTTAAAGCCTGCCAAAAAGACTTTAAGAAGCTAAGAAACGCCAAGAACAGATAGCTTGCCTGATAAAAAATCATCTCTCAGTACTGTTTAATTTTTTATAAAGACTTTTTCCATTACAAGTGTAACTCCTGTAGTCTTCCTTTCCTAAAATGAATGGCTTCTTCACCCTCCTCAGATTAGAAGCAAGTCCCTTCTGATAACCGGAAGCCCACCTTAGTTCCACCTTAGTTAGCAATCCTCTTAACCCTCCTGAACAAAAACAAAAACTATCATTTTTTTCAGAAGTGCATAAACCTAATAGAGGGGGTGCTCCAGAGAGACAGTCTCCCTGCTGCCCCTGTAGGTCTGTTTTCATCTGATCTGTTTTTGCCCTGGACTCCCGCAAGTACAATCAGAAAAAGCCAGTAAAAAAAGGCGCGTAACCCTCTATGTTCAAGACTCGTTTGCAACTACTACTAATAATTAATCTATCAATTAATGTGCATGAACTGAGTAGAGCCAGGGGGTCAAATTAGTTACATAATTAGCCTGATTGGCCTGGCACTTGGGCACCAGCAAAGCTCATGGGAGATGCACTGTCACCTGCCCTTCCGTTTGCTCCGCCCTCCAGCGACTTAAGAAACTTCAGAGCCAGGTACCGAGACTCCCCTCCTGCCTGCATGGTGTGTGGCTGGGGGGATGGAAAGAAGATTGCCCTTAGAAAGAAAGCACAGGAGCCCAGCCAGCGTGGTTCAGTGGTTGCGCATCTACTCCTGAACCAGGGAGGTCATGGTTCGATTCCTGGTCAGGGCACAGGCCTGGGTTGCAGGCTCAACCCCCAGTAGGGAGCGTTGCAGGAGGCAGCTGATCGAGATTCTCTCTCCTCATTGATGTTTCTATCTCTCTCCCTCTCCCTTCCTCTCTAAAATCAATAAAAATACATTTAAAAAAAAAAAAAGCATTCTGTCACCAACAATTACAAAACAAAGAAACTCACACCACTTCCTAATCCCCGAGCCAAATGCCCTCACTGTGCATGTGAATACCGGGGTGCTCACCAGCTCGGCTGTGTAATAAACTCCATCCCGGAGTGGAACTGAATGGAGAAATTCAGCACTCAGCTCCTCAAACTCTGCACCTTGCCTCTGAGATGGACAACTTGTGTGTAGATAAGACATTGGCTTGGTTATTTCCAATGTTGATGGCGGAGAATTTGAATTTCCAAAAGAATGCATGATTCTCTTAGGGCCTCTCTTTTGTCATTTTAAAGTAAGTTTATGTTCTTTACTTTCTGGTTGGTAATCTGTTGGTTGAAAAGTATAAAGCATCGCTATGGTTTATGGATGTGCCGTCACAACCAAATATTCCTTTGGATAAAAAAAAAAAAAAAAAAAAGAAAACCTCAGAAAGTTCTGGAAATTTTGTGCTCTGGTACTTACTAGAATGGATGGAGAGACCGGCTGGCAAAGGTTCTTTTCTCCTTCGCATGCTTTACAGAAGTGGCATACCTTGCCCAAGAGCAATGTCCATGATGGCCTTTTCCTACCTTAATTATTCAAGATAATTGCTCATACTTTAGAATTCCCGCAGTGAAAACGAATGAATCTGTACTTCCTAGATTAAGATCATCAAATGTTAATGCTGGAAAGGCTATTAGGAACCATCCAAGCCAGAAATTTTCACACTATTTTTGGCAGCTATGCCAGGCTAACTGGCTATTTTATTCAAATCCTACATAAGCTGAATAAATATAGGGTGTCCCCCCCAAAAATGTGTATACACTTTGAATAAGTATAAAGGCAGTGCTTATCAAAACATTTCATTTTAAAAACTGAGCTTATCAGCTGTGAAAATGTGTATACATCTTTGGCAGGGGCGGGAGGAAGAGCCCTGAAGTTTGGAGTAACTTCCGTGTGGTGGCTTTGCATTCACAAAGACGGCTTTGCAATTAGATCATAAGCAAGAAATGCAGACTTAAAACCCGATTGTGGAAATTGTCATTTCATGCTCCTATTTAGAGCACTCTTAAATATTTCATGACTTCTGTAATATTAAGAACTGCTAAATAGTTCATTTAGTTCTACTTAACACAGAAGGTTCAAAGGGACTGCACCAGCCATCACTGTGATTGGCAGTGTTTTGGAAGGTCATGGACTCCGCACACCCTCCAGGTCCCAGTGCAGGTTTCACAATTGTTCAGACAATGCTAGCACGGCCATGCTCGTGGCGCAGGGAGGTTCGGGTAACTGGTGGTTCCCTGGCAAACTTCCAGGCTCCGATTCAGACTAGGCAAGCACCAATCCCAGCTCTGCTGATGACCCCCCCCCCCCATGACCTTGGAGCAGGTTCCTTCCTGTCTCCAAGTCTCAGTGTCCTCGTCTATAAAATGGGCAGAATAACATCCTCTGGTCTACAAGGTCACTACCATGTTCAAAGGCCGTAGCACCGGTGAGCTGCCAAGCAATAGCCAGAGCTCCGGGCAAGTCTGCTGTTACTATTACACGCGTGCGACTGACACCTGAATGCTTGCTCCTACAAGTTACAACGGAAGCAATCCTTTTTGCACAACCACCTAGTTCCTCCATTGCATGGGAGGTTTTCGTTGTCTCGTTTGGATCCTCATTTTAACGCGAGTGTGACACTCTGCAACCCCCTGGACTCATCACTAACCCGAAACAGGGGTCTCCTCTTAGAATGGCCTTCCTCGCACTCCAGGTCCCTTCTCGCCGCCCAGGAGGTGACATGTTGCATTGGGATCATTTAGACTAACTCTGTAGTCAAGAAGGTCGTGGCTCTTTACAATGATTCTTACAGAGAGACAACTAGAAGTACAGACGAGGCTGCAGGCTGCACTTTGATGAAGCGGGAAATGCAAAGTGAACACCAAACCTCTTCACCTCCCCACGTTCCTCATTCCAGGCAGCGCCTGACCCCTGACCCCTGCCCGGCTGTGGTCAAACACTTGGCGGGTGGACAGCGATATGAAGGCTGCCAGGTGTCACGGTCGCTGTTGGCGCTGCTGTTGAAGGTGTTCTAACATTATAATTGGGGTGGCCCTTGCTCCTTCATCCGAAAGCTAAATTCGAGTGACAGGCCTTAATGTTCTGACAGTTTTTGAGATTTGTGTCCAATGCCAGAAGCCCAGCCGCATCTACAAAACCTATGTCTGGATGTATTAATCTCATCCTGTTCCTAAGCTTAAACCTTTAATCATATCAGCGAAACCACTGCTAAGCTGTTTCCATCTCCGGTCTGTACATAATCTCTTTGCATTGTTTTTTCCTTTCATTCAAAAGGAATATTCTTTGAGATCCTATCTGACTGTAATAATATGTAATTCTGAAAACAGCTTTCTATCCCAACTGGATATTCAGGTATAATTCCTAAGAGACAGTGGTGAGGGAGGACGAAAAAGATAGAAATACTCATAAATCCAACGCCCCAGAAACAGGTGAGACAATAGGAGACTTGAATGAACTATCCAAAAAGGCGTTTGTGAAAGGAGCCCCAAAAGAAGGGCGTGTCATAGAACCCCTTGAAAAGAAACAGAACGGTGTGCTGGTTGATGGTGCGTGAGGAGCTGGGGGCTGGCCCAGAAGAACTAGGAGATGACCGCTGAGAAGCCCAGAGAGAGATGCTAGTCCCCGGCGGCTCTGGGAGAGAGGAGCCTGCCTGGTTTGTCCCTTTAAGAACTGGCTGCCGACTTCTGGAGGCAAACAGAGCAGCCAGTAACTCTGGGCATGTTGCAAGGCACTGCTCTGCTGGCCTCCATTCACGTGCTGTGCCAGGCCCATCTCAGAGGCCCACCCAGCCCCTCTCCAGCCTTCCCGGGCCTCGCCCCTCCAGATCCACAGAGATGCCTTCCTTTCTAGACTGCATCCGTCCTCCTCTTCCCTGGCCAGAAAAGAAACCTTCCCGGCCTGCTGAGTCCCGGGAAGCCGAGAAGGGATGCTGGGAATGTCAGGTCCCAGTGTGGGCGTGAGCCAGCGCTCACTGAAGGCGGCCATAGAGCTGTTTTCACAGGAAACGCATAATCAGAGGCGTCCTGGACGGTTGGTGGTTTTCCTACATCCATGTGACTGGCCTTTAAAAACAGTTTCCTGGCCCAGTCTATGAGGCTCCGAGGTTGAGCTTCGACCTATGAGCCAGGAGGTCATGGTTTGATTCCTGGTCAGGGCACAGGCCCAGGTTGTGGGCTCAATCCCCCGTGGGGGGTGTGCAGGAGGCAGCCGGTCCATGGTTCTCTCTCAGCATTGATGTTTCTCTTTCTCTCTCCTTTGCCCTTCCCCTTTTTCTAAAAAAATCAATAAAAATGTATTTTAAAAAATAATAATGGGCCCTTAATGCAAGGGCAGCTCCTTGGGATAAAGCTTTGCTTCAGAATATCGCACATGAGTAAATCTGAAAGTATATATATATTTATATTACTAATCGCCACTATGTTTGAGAAAGGCAAGCTGTAGGATCCTACGGAGAAAGACTGGTCGTGTGTGTGTGTGTGTGTGTGTGTGTGTGTGTGTAAGTGGTTATCGGATTCTCCTAAAGCAGTGTCCACAGAGCACTGGGGAGGGGGCAGGCCGCTGAGTATCCATCACGGAGCCTAGAGGGAGAGAACTGCTAAGGAAGCTGTAACTGAAGGAGGCTGTGCCATTCATGCAGCCTGTCTCCTCGCTTCCTTTTTAACTGGAAAGAGAAAACCAGACTTTCACTGCCAGAAAGATGCTTTGCTTCAAATGTTACCAACTGGCCTTCTCCACACTCTAACGGGTCTGTGTGTGGTGTGCTTCCTCGTTTCCCCAGACGCAGGTCAGCCCCAAGGAGGGGTGGCAGGTGTACAGCTCCGCGCAGGACCCCGATGGCCGATGCATCTGCACAGTGGTGGCTCCGGAGCAGAACCTGTGCTCCCGGGATGCCAAGAGCAGGCAGCTGCGCCAGCTGCTGGAAAAGGTAGGAGTCCCGGGTCTCGGGCACGTGTGTGCTGAAATCCACTGCTCTTTGCAAAGGAAGTGGGGGGAAGTGGGGCCGTGGGGATCAGGGTCTTCCCAGTGTTTGCTCCTTCCCGGAAGGAGTCCCTCCCGCTTCCTGCTCTGTTCTACTGCTGTGGCTTTTCACTGCTTCCAACCCCATCTTCTTAGACTGGCTCTCTGTCATCTATCTTAATATTCAGTTGGTGTCTACTTAAGATATGGGGGAGAACGGGGAGAGAGTAGGAAGTCTTATTCTGCTGCCAGAAATGGAACCTTGACTCTCAGAATCACACCAGGCTCCTTGGATTCCATTATGAACCCAACTAATGGCATGCGCTGCGCGAGCTCTCTGACGGATAACAAACAACTGCACGTATGTGCCATCACTCTCTGAGACACGCCTTTGAGCATCACGCTCTTCAATTTCACTCAACGGCATTCATCGCGTCGTTTACTGAAGCCGGCCCCCAACAATCAACTGCTGAATGGCCCTGATTCCCTCTGTTACAGACACCAGTCAGCTCATGAAAGCTTATTGATATGTGGTGAGGCGAGAACAAAACAAAACAGAGCAACAATGGAAGGTTCCTCCCATTCTTCTCATTCTGAGCAGGTCCCTGGTACAGCAACACAGCTGGGGTGGCCAGGCTGACGGGGGGCTGAGGGGGAGGTGGCAGCAGCTACAAGTTTAAATGCCATCGGGGGTGATACGATGCATCAGGTGACATGAGCTATTGGAGGACATCCCCCTCAATAACTCACGCGGGGCCGTGTCCATCCACGCAACTGGCCATTCATGGGAGCTTCACAGGAAGTTAAGAGAAGCTAGAAAAATGAAAGCGTTGAATCTCCGAGTACAGGCATCCCCATGTATGCTATTCCCAGGTCCCCGATGGCACACAGGACCTGACCTTCGCATTTCCCATGGACCAAGCACGTCACGTGGTAGGAGAACACTGCTCCCACCGGCAATGTTCATAACAACAACTCCCGTCTGTTCTTCCTGTCCTCCCTGTTCAACCCGCAGAGCAGATGCAGTTAGTTGCCTCTCTCTCAGTTCACCTAAGAGGAAGCTGGTGCTTCCTGAGGCAAAACCACCGAGCGATGTCACTCACCGGCAGACGGTGTGGCAATGCCCCTCCAGTTCTGTGTTTTCTCAATACCCCATGAATGTCTCGAGACACCCCTGGTGGACCCCATGCCTAACTAAGCGCTGCACAGCCCAGCAGCCCAGCAAGCTGGACAGCATTGTATCAGTAAATACCAGGAGAACCGCAAGTGGCTTCCCATGTTCCAGGCGTTAGCATGCCCAACCTAACGCTGTTCCCTTAGCAAAGCTTGCCAGCGTGCAGTTCCCTGCACAGGTCACCACACCCACGCTGTCCAGCTCGCTCATTCCCCAGTGTGGTTTGGGAACAGGAGGCCAGTGACGTCCTCAGGATGAAATGGTCCTGAGAGACACTGTACACGACTCTTTGCTCTGAAGATTCCACCTCGCAGTTCACAGGAAGCCTCACAGTGAAGACACCTGTTTCTCTGTGTTCGCCCAGCGCCTTCTAAACATACGAAATGGTTGGACTGTTCCCAGTGTAGCTGCCATATCAACGAAGGAGAGTGAAACCCGAGTTAATTTGCACTGACGTCTGAAAGCCCTCAGACATGTGACTCACGGGAAGAACCAGGATGGAGAGTTCTAACATGTTACCAGCGAAGGGGAACCCCGAGCTTGCCAAACCCTGCAGAGAGGCTGTGGGCACCGGGACATGAGTGGAGAGATGGACAGCAGGACGGCAGATGGCTCTCCTCCCTGCCCGTGGAATCCTGGGGACCCCGTCTCTCTGTGGGTCCCGTAACCAGTGGGAAGCTAACCAGTGCCTGGGGACCGCCAGCGGGAGAGGCGGAAGGCAGCTGAGCCAGGGCCTGTCCCTTCGGACAGCTCTATCACTAGCTCTGTCATTGGACACGATTCTGCAGCACAGAGGCCGGACCAGGACTCGGCACACATTCTCTCGGTGCATTTCCCGCAGCACAAGGAGAGCTGCACGGGAGCTCGAGGGGGGGAGTCAGAGGCAAAGTGACAGGAGGCTGTGTCCACTCCATCCACACCCACACCTGCCCATCGCTTTCTCCTGGGCACGGCCTCCCGGGAGAGGCTGGCCACGCAGTGATGGTGGGCCTTCATGCAAACACCGTATTCACTTGTGCACTTTCCTTAATATAAATGGCGCTTCTTTATTCAGGCTTAACCGTAGTGGAGCTCAGAAGCGTTTTGAGAGCATTACCTTTACCCAAGATACAGCCACGATGCTCAAGATGTTGCCACGGGAATTCCGCTCTGCCCTGAGGCTGGGTTGTAAGTGAGGCTTTCTGATGCAGGAGTGACTGTCAATCAATAAACACGTGGGCATCCTGTGGTCTTTCCTTCTCAAGTTAAAGGAAGTCACACACTCACCCGCACTCACCCCCCGACGGGAAGCCTGAGAGAGCTCACCCTGCAGACACAGACTGGCTTTTCCGACTTGCTTTTCTCCAGGAAATCCCTCCACGTTAAGCGTCGCTTCTCAAAATGTCACAGACAAAGGGATCACATGGGGATCTTGATAAAATGCAGATTCACATTTTTGGATAAGATTCTGGGTTCTGGACCAGCTCCCAGGAGGATGCTGGCCCCAGAGACAATCCTCTGGGTACCAAAGGCACTGCCCTGCCCTCTCACCTAGCGCTTCCTTCTCCCCTCCTCGAGCCCGTCAACAGCTCCCCTTCCCTGTCCCTCGTTCTGGTTCCAGAATGTCGCTGCCACAACAGTGAGGAGGGTCATCTGTGCCCTCCTCAAAACAGCCTGGGGCACAGGGAACCCGTGTTGTGTGCCCACCTGCCCAACACCAGTGACCGCTGCCTTCTCCCAGGTCTGTGAGAGCAGGCTCCTCGGGGGAGGAGGGCCCAGCAGGGGTTTGGGAGCTGCCACCGTGCACCTGGGTCCGTCCACCTCACCTCTGGGTCCATCCACCCCTCCTCTGGGGGTTTGTCCAGTGCCTCGAGGTGACTGTACCACAGAGAGTGCATTGAATGTCTGTTAGGCACTCCTGACACCCACCCTGGCTAAGCACCCCAGATCTCGGGGTCAGAGGTCAGTGTTAGTACTTACAGAAACAACTCATTTTAACCTTCGACAAAACAGGGCACTGGAATAAAAAATCTATTCCATGAAACGTATTTTTTCTGACATGTGAAGGCCTCGCTGATATCCAGTCATTTCTAATGTTCGGACACCCATTTCATGATTTCCTGCCTCGGTCTACCTGTCTCTCACTGAATTCTTTGTTTATCAGGGAGAACTGTCCTTCTAGAAACGTGTTGTGTGGGAACGCGCTATAGGACCTGGGACTCAAGTTCTCCATGTAGATGCCATTCTGGCTGTCTCGCAGGTGACTGCGTGGACCTGTGCACAGACACTAATTGACGGCCAGTGTTCTCGTTGGACAGGTCCAGAACATGTCCCAGTCCATTGAAGTCTTAAACCTGAGGACTCAGAGGGATTTCCAGTACGTTCTCAAGATGGAAACCCAGATGAAGGGGCTCAAGGCCAAGTTCCGGCAGATTGAGGATGACCGGAAGACACTCATGACCAAGCACTTCCAGGTAGGTTTGGCTCCCTCGAGCCTGTCTAGCCCTGAGTGACGCCAAGTGGGCCGGGCAGCCATTGTGGCTCAGATAGAAACAGCTGCACTGGCCCCTCCGTGCCAGGGTCAGGGGACGCCCGGCATCTCCCCACTGGCCCTGCCATTAGCTGTCGGGGCGCACAGAAGGCTGGCTAGAACAAAGCTAATCCTGCATGAGCGCGGGGAGTGTCCGCATAGACCTACAGGCACTTCAATATCGATGACAAGGGGAAACCTGAAGGAAAAGTAATAATTCAACGTAGCAAAGTTTTCCCCCTGGTGAAGTTTTTTATGCCCTACTACGAGAAATATTCAATGCGGCAGTACTATCATTACCAATAGCCATAGCAAGAGGATTGCTTTATGATTTGACCCAAAGACCTTTTTTTTTTTTTTACTTTCGGTGGTTTATGGGCAATTATTTAGAAACACTGGAAATGGAGACGAGGTGCATGTGAGCTTTTATTAACTCTGAGTGACAGGGCCATCGGTTAAAATAAACTCTGACTGGGAGGATGCTGGGAAAAGGAACAGCCCAAAGACGTGGCACGTCGTTTATGAAACACGCTGTGGTTTTATAAAAGGTCACAGCCCAGCTTCCCAGCCAGCCAGGAAGCGAGGGGCGTGCTGGTGGTGAGGGAGCAGGTCTGACCTCCACGTGTTGGTGTGAGGGCCAGGCAGCTGGCCCTTTTCTCTGCTTCGCACGGGTCCCCAGGAGCCCGGGCAGAGGGCAGAGGGCAGAGGAAACTGTCTGGCACTGAACCGCATTTAAATTTTCACCTAAAAGGAGGGCAGGAAGGCTGAGGGTATTGGCAGGAGAATGGGCTAAAGGGATGACACACAAGATTTCGGTTGAAGAAAGATGTACGCAAGGCCGGGGGAGGGGGAAGTGGTTAAGGAACTAGAACAAATTAGAGCAAAGCCTAGAACTTACCAGGAACTTAAAAGATTGTTGGGAATAAGAGAGAGTGACCTGGAGAATAGAGACGGTGTGGGGGGATGGCATACAGAGAAAGACAGAGGCTGGAGAGCAAATGAATTCATTTTAACCAACTCTTACTGAGCAGGTCCTGTGAACAGGACGGGGCTGGCCCTCTGGGGGGTGCGGTACGTAATCTCTGTTCTGGGCCCACGAGCCGGCCCTGGTTTCCCTGACACGAGGCCCGCGCTCTCCCCGCAGGACCTGAAGGAGAAGATGGACGAGCTCCTGCCGCTGATCCCCGTGCTGGAGCAGTACAAGACGGACGCGCGGCTCATCACGCAGTTCAAGGAGGAGATCCGGAACCTGTCGGCCGTGCTCACGGGGATCCAGGAGGAGCTGGGCGCCTACGACTACGAGGAGCTGCACCTTCGGGTGCTCAGCCTGGAGACCCGGCTCCGTGACTGCATGAAGAAGCTCAGTGAGTAGGGCGCGGCGTCCGCCTTGTGTGTGTACGTGGGTTCCGTGCGATGGTGGGAATGGTCAGACGTGCCTCGTATCAGGGAAACCAGGGCCAGCTCTCCAAGGGCAAGGTCAGTGCTCCTGGATGGCTTCCACGCCCCTGGGAATGAGTGGCACCGGACTGGCAGTTGCCTGATTCCCCAGTAGCCTGTTATGTTGGAAATAAGCAGTCTGGCGATAGAGCCGATTCCCTTGTGGTTGGCAAGCTGCGGCTCGCGAGCCGCATGCGGCTCTTGGGCCCCTTGAGTGTGGCTCTTCCACAAAATACCACGTGCGGGCGGGCGCACACGTACAGTGCGATTGAAACTTCGTGGCCCGTGCACAGAAGTCGGTTTTTGGCCTGGGCGAGTCTATGTTGAAGAAGTGGCGTTAGAAGAAGTTGAAAAAGTTTGGCTCTCAAAAGACATTTCAGTCGTTGTCACTGCTGATATTTGGCTCTGTGGACTAATGAGTTTGCCGACCACTGAGCTACACCACTGGAGATGGGTCTTATTACAGACAAGCGGTGCGTGAGGGAGGCACCGCAGGGAGTGAGAAAGGTAGAGACTGCAGGAAAGGAGGGGGCCCTGGGCCAAAACGGGAAGCCGTGGTGCTGAGAGCAAACCCAAACAGCTGCCCCTCAGGCAGGGCTGCCCACAACGGCTCCGGCCCACTGACGGAATCAAAGGAGGCACCTTCCCAAACCGGCTCCTATACACCATGAGAAAGTGCCACGCATGTGTGTGGATCCTGGACTGCAGTCCCTGACTCAGCCTGGACCCGTGAGCTGTGATCCAGCTGAACATCTGGGGACGAGTCCAACCCAGCGTGGCTTGAGTCCATGGCAGGGAACTGACTGGAGAGGCTGGGAGCACATTCCGGAACGGCATGTTAGTAGTTGACATGACGGGGGGTAGGGAGGCAACTCAACCACAGCACAGTGCTCTCTCAAGGTCTGGAGGAAGCAATACACTGGGAAGAGGAGTAAAGAAGTTGAGGAAAATAATTTCTGGTCAAGAAAATCTCCAAGGATACATGTAACACTTGATCGGTAGCATGTGCTGAGCCAAGCGCGTGCTGAGCCCAGGCGTGTGCTGGCCTCCTTGCTTTTCCCTCCTTGACTGTTCATGACACACCAACTCAACCAAAGCCAGGCCAGGTCACGGGAGGGTCGTACCCGGTGAATACCATAAGTCCGACCGGAAGTGGGCTCGTGGAACTCTTGTGGGAATAACATGGGAAAACGCTTGGGATCTGCCTCCTTTTTAGAAATGAACTTCACCTCTAACATTTGCAGAGTGGAGCAAAAGGAGGTGGACAGTGATGAGTGTGCGAAGTTTAAGATAATTAAAAAACAAATGAGCCTCCTCTCCCACGTAGTAAATAAAGTGTCCGCTTACTACTAGAGAATTCAAGTTTGGGCGAAAGATAGAAATTAGGAAAATGCTCCCACGGCAGTGCACCCTCTGGCCTGAACGGGAAAAGACGTGCTCTCCTAAATGCACGGTTTTCTATCCCAGAGCCCAGACAGAGAGGGTCCCCTGTGCTTAATTAAATCGGGCTGTATTCCCAGACATGCACACTGTAATTACACACATGTGAGGATTTAACTGAAAAGCACGGTGAAAGCCTTCGCAACCCCGAGACCACCGACAGACATTTAATGTCGCTGATAACCAGGCTCCCGCCCTCTCCCCGCCTCTAAGCACTTCTACCCCAGGGCGATGGTGCGGTGCCATCTAGTAAAGTTCTCTGTACCTCCTCCCATTAACACGGCCTTTGGAGTATCATTAATGTTCAAAACTCCAGATCCCAAGTAATGACACTTGGGTTGTTGTTTTTGCCATGTTAGTGCCAAAATCGTTTCAAAAGGGAAAACAAAATGTCCAGGTGGTAATAGTCATGTTTGCACAGTCAACCGATATTGAATGAGCCCTGGTGTGTGTGTGGGCACTCGGCCAGGCACTGGGAGACAAGGCTAAGCAGCAGACAGATCCCCATCCCCCGCCAGGGAGGTGGCATTCTGTGGGGACACAAGCACATAGCAGATAAGTGCAGTCGTGTTGACAGCCGGCTGCATCATGGGCACCATGCCAGCCTCTCTCTTCCATGTGGTGGTTCCAATCGCCGCGAGAACTCTGGGTGAGGCCTTATTATGCAATTGATTGCACACAGATTGTTCAGCTTAAACTCATTTGCGATTTATTGGAAAACAGACGGGTTTGGACACATGTTATTCTTGGTCCCGCTTGCCGCACACCCACTGAAAACTCATTCTAGTGCCCGTTCCTTTATGGCAACTGTTATATTCACCCTGTCACCACCTACCCCCAGCACTGCAGTTGCTGAGTTAGACATGAAAATAAAAGGTTAAATAATAGAAACAAATGTGTGGTAGACGTAAATATATTATAAGTAGCTTCAAAAGATGGATGTTGAAGATCAAATCATATCTACTTCTTGCTATGCGTTCTCCAATGGCTGTAAGTAAAAAGAAATGAAGATTGTGAAGAAATATTCACCATTCCATTTAATTTACTCATATGGAAATGGCCTTGGGGTTCAACATCAGAAGCCATTAGTCTGGGCCATCACAAGGTGCAATATTAAAGAAATAAAAGAGAAGAGACATATCGCCATGCTTTGTTGATCCAAACAACTGATCTTGCCACCTTTTCCTAAGCATGGGCTATCGCGATATTACCAAGTCCAATGTCTAGAAGGCATCAGAGAAATAAAATGGCCACATTCTTCAACTGCCTCATCAGTATATTTTCTGAATAGATAGCATTTTACAATATATTGCGTGTGCATGGTTCTAACATTGTCCCATGTCTCACTGCCAATGAGAGCAGAGCGGGAGAAAAGCCAGTAAAGCAAAACCCTTCATTTCGCTGTTTGCCATCCATTTCTGCTAAACATTTGTCTTCCCGGCGCCCGGGAAAAATCACCCTTTCCGTCTGGCTCCCTGTGTCCGCGCGGAAAGAGAGCGAAGGGAGAAAGGTAATTGTGTCTTGGAACAAAAGCCAGTGAGGGGGAGCCAAGAAACAGAAATGACTTTCACTGTTGATTTCATGTTTACAATCTCTACATTTCATCAGCAGCTGAAAAGACCAGTGTTTACTTACCACAGAGATCCACAAAATTATAACTACCAAAACAGCCAGTTTTTATAAATTCCTGAAACTCATTAGTAAAACTATATTTTAAACAATTTTAAAAAGTTACACTACATAAACCTATTTTTATATAAACCATAAATGAACCCACAGGAGATGGTAATTTAATCTGTTTAGTAACCATGCATAGCCATGCCTCTATCTATATAAACCTATTTTGTCAACTCAACACTGAGCATGGTCCTGATACAGCATAGCTTCTCAGGAAATGGTTGTTCGGTGAATATTATTACTTTACATTTAAATAGAAACTGCTGGTTTCACCGCTGACCTATTTCAGAGGAAATGCCCCTTGCCATTGTCAGTTTAGGCACCAGAGGGATTATACCGCTGGTATAATTCCTGTCTCCATTCCTGGTCTGAACAGCCTGAGGCTCAGCAGCACCCCTCTGCCATATGTTCACATCATTGGATTCTACCCAAACACCACAGAAGCCGGGACACCCACGCCACCCACGTGCTGTCGCTTTTTGAAATTGTTGATTCTATGAGATTCGTGGCACAGATAACTGCCCAAGGGAATTCTGGGGCAGATTTTTAACTAATCCATCCAACTCAACTCCTGTTGATGTTACATCTACGTAAACGGGAACCCAGGAAACCAATCAACACCTGAAATATGCACACTCCGAGGGGAAATAAGAGCTTTATGTCTCCTTGCTAGTTTTTGAGTTGATCGTGTTGTGTGGCCTGAGGATGGTGTTGTAAATATCCAAACAGCCCTTGGCAGAAAAAAGGCTGCCCACCTCTGATTTAGAGTACTGAGTTCCAACTATAGCTACAGGTATGACACTCGACACGAATGATCATTCATTCAGAATATGTGATGTCAACCCCATGATTCAGTAGCCCTTGTTTTGCTCTTGTGAGTCTGTGTGTTGGAATCATTGCCCCGTGGTCACTTTGTGTGTTTATGTTTCTCTAATTTCAGCATGTGGCAAGTTGATGAAAATCACAGGCCCAATTACTGTCAAGACGTCTGGAACCCGATTCGGTGCCTGGATGACTGATCCTCTAGCATCCGAGAGAAACAACAGAGTATGTGGCCTCCACCAATGTCTTTGCTTAGAATTATGTTTTATTTATACCTTTTTGTCTACTGGACCATTCATTTTCTTTAGCGATAGAGTTTCACCTTGGAAACGATTACATCATTGTAAATATTTTCAGCTTGATAATATTAGCACAGATACAGAGATAAAAGGCAAATTTATTTTAGCAAAATGTTTTATCCTGTAATCCTCCAACAGGGTGAATCTAATTTTTATTTGCTTCAGTCTTGTTTTGCATTTCACAGGGCAAAAATTATAAGAATACAAAATTCTCTTTATATTTCTACTAAAACTTGCTCCTTAATGTGAAAACACACACAAACGCACACACACAAAAAAAAAAAATAATAATAAGGGAAAAACTTGAGCTTACCAATTCACAAAACAAGCTAAAATATTCATGGAGTCTAGAGCTAACTTTAAGGGAAATAGCACTGAAACTTTGGGGGATGGGAGGTATTTTCATAAATCAGCAATACCTGTATTATGTAAATCAATATACTGCAAACTTACTATAGCTCCGGGCATGTGTTATTGTAGAACTTACTATACATTAAGATTCACAGGGTTACATCCAAGTAAGATTTGTAGCTAGATTAGTGAAATGGTTGTGTTAAGAGGTTGGTGTACCTAGAAGCAGGTTCAGTGAACAAGGGCTAGTTAACTGGAAGGTTCTGTGCATCCATAAAGGAGAAATACGTTCAGTGGTGTAAAGTTAGACCACACATTTTTTTCAGAGTGAGCTGCAGAATAAATAAATTTGCTGAAGGCGGTGTTTTTGCAGTTATTGATCGCACAGATCGATCAGGTGACTAAACGAAGTGATGTGATTTGTACTGACACGTGTTTGGCTCACTCAGTCACGGGCACTGAACGGTCTAAGAAAGAAAGGACAAAAAGCCAATCAACTTCAAGGCAGCAAATTTAGCTGTTTCCTTTCCACCAATCCATGCCACTCTCTTTTTGCAAAAGCCCGCCGTGCCATCCTCCCTAAGATAATGTGTCCTCTGAGATCCTCAGCATCCTGATATGGATGTGTGTCGGTTCTCACTGTCTTTGTTTTAGAATTCTCAGCAAAGTCCAGAACATAGGTGCTCCATTCATTTATTTTTTTCCCCCTCTCGTCCTCCCAGGTCTGGTACATGGACAGTTACACTAACAACAAAATAGTCCGTGAGTACAAGTCCATGGCCGACTTTGTCAGCGGGGTTGAATCAAGGACCTACAACCTCCCTTTCAAGTGGGCGGGCACCAACCACGTGGTCTACAACGGCTCACTCTACTTCAACAAGTACCAGAGCAACATCGTCATCAAGTACAGCTTCGACCTGGGCCGCGTGCTGGCCCAGCGCAGCCTGGAGTACGCCGGCTTCCAGAATGTCTACCCCTACACGTGGGGTGGCTTCTCCGACATCGACCTGATGGCCGACGAAATCGGGCTGTGGGCCGTGTACGCCACCAACCAGAACGCGGGCAACATCGTCATCAGCCAGCTGAACCCAGACACCCTGGAGGTGGTGAAGAGCTGGAACACGGGCTACCCCAAGAGAAGCGCCGGAGAGTCCTTCATGATCTGCGGGACCCTGTACGTCACCAACTCCCACCTGACCGGAGCTAAGGTGTACTATTCCTACTCCACCAAGACCTCCAGCTACGAGTACACGGACATCCCCTTCCACAACCAGTACTTCCACATCTCCATGCTGGACTACAACGCCAGGGACAGGGCGCTCTACGCCTGGAACAATGGCCACCAGGTCCTGTTCAACGTCACCCTCTTCCACATCATCAAGACCGAGGACGACACATAAGCAAGTGCAACCTGTTTGCGCCCAGCTACAAAGTGTCATCTGTGACCCATTCTCTAGGCCTCTCTCTGTATTGCTTTTCTTCATTAGAGTGTCCTCACCCCACCTCCAAAGCATTTCTATCAACACGTTGGGTGTCCGGGGAAAGAGCTGCGGAGCCCGCCTCCATGAGCCCGTTGGACACACATCGGAACTCCTCCATTCACACAGCCTATCGTGTCCTTGTCATGGGAAGCACTAAAGAGAGCTTACCTGGCTAACGTCATACTTTTGCAAAAGATTAATGGTCTGCCTTATCCTAGTGTCAGAGACTAATGGTAGCTTCAATGCATGAATGTCTCTCTCTCTCTCTCTCACTCTCTCTCTCTCTTCTAACTCTGCCACTTCTGTCTCTAGCTCCATATCAGAAAACATTCTGGTAGGATCAGAAGGAAAAAAAAGGAAGAAAAGGGGGGGGAAAAAAAAGCATTTTCTCCCCACTCATTTCTAACACAGACGTCAGGATCTGCTTTATGCGGGAAAGAACATGCCGTCCCGCTGTTCCCCAGCCCTCCAACGCGGTGCTGTACAGCCATTTTTAAATCTCTTGCTAACACTTGATTGGCAACCTGTATTTCTACCATTGTGACCACCATTGTGCAATTGTTCTCTCTTCACTTCTGTGACAGTAAGTGATGTTTTTTATAAACTACACTGAAGTTCAACCTCAGTGATCCTCTGGGGCCCATGTCCAAGTGTGGTCCGGAGGAAGTATCCTCCTGGCTTCCCCTGCCCATGGTAGTGTAAGCTCAACAGGAATGCAAACCAGGCCCCTTCCATCCTGTCTTTATTTGACCTCTGACACACACCGGTCCACAGATACGCAATGCCCCACAGACTCGGCCTGGGCAAGTCAGTCTGCTCGTCCTGCTGAACGCAACCCTTAAGTCACACAAATTGAACTTGAGTTGACTATACTCCTTTATGAAACAAATTATGTTCTTCGTGATTAAATATCTCAGTGTTTTAACTTATATTTTACACACAACTTGCAATAAAGTAATTCCTTGTGCCAGCACTAGAAAAGTACACGAAGCACATATAAAAAGTCTTTAAAAGAGTTCTGTAATATCATCTAGATTCCCATGATAAGCTCGGGAGTGGTTATTGGCAGGATTTGTGCAAAAGAGAATGATGGGAAGACTTGGGAGTTGTCTGTGCCGTTTAAATGTGCAAACGACCCATTTGCAAGGCAACCCCTGGTTACCCAGATTCTTTGTGTGCAGAAGCAATGCAACTGAAAAAGACAGCTTGAATCAGATTTGGTGTCACTAACTCCCAAAACATATACTCAGTATACTATTATCGAACACGTCATTGAGTTTGGATGGACTTTCCATATATCAAACATCCTTACCTAACACCATTTTACTGAAACTAGTATGGGTTGGTTTTAAATTTTAAAAAGTATAGAATATAATAAATAAGCTATAACTTAAATGGTTGTAAATGTTTAGTTTCGCACATAAATTCTACTGTAATTTCCTTCGTAAAGTAAGGATATAACCATTCAGACAAAGCATTGTGTAAAGAAATGCTAATGCTTAAGAAATTCATTTCCATTGTCACAGGTAAGCCATCATCCTCAAATAGCTCACTGTCAAACACGCAGGATAAAATAACCCAATCTTGAAAGTGTCCAAGTTTAGCAAAGCTTTCCCTCCTTCTCTCTCTCTCTCTCTCTTTCTCTCTCTCTCTCTCTTTCCCTCCCTTCCTCCCTCCTCTTTCCCTCCCTCTCTTACTCTTCTCTTTCTCTCTCCCTCCACTTTCCCTCCCTCTCTTCCTCTTTCTCTCTATCCCTCTCTCCTATTCTCCCCTCCTTCCTCCCTCTCTTCTTCCCTCCCTCCCTCCCTTTCTGTCTGCCTGCCTCCTGTGGTCCTTTGGTGATATTGTCCTTCTCTTTGAAAACATTTATCTAATTTCTCCTCTGCTTTGGGGTGTTAGAAAATTTAGGGGATCTGCTTGTCGTTATACACTCGCTACAAGAATAATCAGCCAATCAAGAGTTTGTATGAAGAGAAGAAAGTCAACTGCAGAGATGAATGAACTTTGAAGTTGAGGGCCTCTTCCGAAGAGCTGGGTTGTCATTACTAGCTTTCATTTTTTTGAAAGATGGATATGGTGTCACGTACATGCCCACCCTGGACTGCCACAGGCTTTCGTGAGACACATGGCTTGTAAAGCCCTTCACCTGTTGTGGGGCTTGTCACCTTCCGGCCCCCAATGCACGCACTGCCAGGGGATGCACAGAGGCCTGGACTGTCGCTGGGACCGGGACAGGGACCGTGAGCGTGAAAAAGTGATCTGCATTAAACATTCACAGTTCAGAAGCATTTTTCTTCATAAATTATCAGTTTTGTGCCTGAAATAAATAAGAACTTACTCTAATCACTGTTTTATTTTTAAATCTCAAATAAAATAAATTTTATGAGGGAAATGAGCATTTATAAATCGCTCACATAATCCCATCAGTAAAGAAATCCAAGCTCAGAAGGCTTTTATTCTTTTGTTTTTCCATCACCATTTCTGCCTTTTTCCATTTCCCACTCCCCTTCCTACCCCACAATCACACCATTGTCCACATCCATGAGTTCTCGCTCTTTTCTGCTCAGTTCCTCCACCACCTCCCCAATCCAGCCCCCACCAGAGCTGTCTGCCTGTGCTCTGAGTCACTGTCCTCAAATATCCTGGCACAGGGTCTGACACAGAATCATCCCACAGCAAAGGACAATAACCAAAGAAGCATAGGAGTTGAGTTGTAGAGTCACCACCTTCCCACGTCTAAACAAACTTTGTTCCACTCGGAGGTCATGAGATATTAACTTTTCCCACAGTGTTTTATTGGGGAGAGATGTCCATGAGGTCCTAAAGTAACACCCATAATGCATGGACCGGGGCTGTCGAGCAGATAGAAATGGGCTTCCTTTACTCTCTTGGGTTCATTGTTCCTTGGTGATGTGGTCAGTTTCATTGCAGAACAAAGTAGCTCAAAGGGGCTACCGTCCTTACTCGTGTTATTTCTCTCCTTGACACCCATTTTTTAAAGAAAAAAAAATCTACATTTTTGCCCACCCAACTCTTGGTTCCTTATTTTGCGTTTTTACCCATGTAAGTAAAGACTTCCCTAGATATATACTCTGTCTTTGGTAGCTCAGATCTGGGTTTTATACCAAGGGGCATGTGCTAAAGTGGGCCTCTCACCTGTCACTCTCCTCCCTGATCCTGGGTTTGCAAAGGATGCGCCCATGAGCAATGTGATGCTCGTCAACCTCTTCCCCTAAGTAACACCTTCTAACTAGCATCTTGTAGTGCCCTCTAACTAGCACTAGTGAGGACCCTATCTTCATACCTAGGAGCACAAGCAACTCTCCCGCAAGACAGGTCTAACTCCCCGTCTTGGGGCATGTTTCTCGGTTTCTGTAGATGAGAGTGTTGGCTGGATGGGTAGTTACCCAACAGTTCCCCTCTAGAGCTTGAGGTCATTCCAGGGTCCCCTCAGAGTCGCCAAAGGGACAGCGGAACTTAACGGAGATGGGGCAAGGGCCTCCAACTGTCCCTCACCACCTCCCACGAGAGCAACCTCCTCCCTTTTATCTCCTTTCTAGAAAGTTTTGGTTATACGCTTTCATAGTCAGAACGCGTTTCTGTTGTTGTAAGTATAAAAACTACTTATCTAGGTGGTTCCCAGGGTTGGGCTCTGACTTCTCCAGAGCTGTGACTTGGGAAGGTCCATAAAGGACGTGCATGCGTGGGATCTCAGATGCTCGTATCGCTTTGAATGAAGGGGAAGACACCACACAGAAAGGAGAGAGGGAAGTGAGCTTACTAATTGGCTGGAGCTAAGACGAACAGTTCATCTTGTCCTATCGCTCAACCGAACCCTACTGCCTCACTAGGGATATTCCGTTCGCATAACCCTGTTCAAAACCCATGGTTTCTTCCTCTCTACACTCCTGTGTCAGCAGCTAACGAATGATGCTAAACCCCTTTCACATGAACCCCACATTCGGACCAGTGTTTCACTGCATCAGCTCCCACTGAGTGCTTCTCTGGGGGAACCACACAATGTCTAGTGGTTCTGAGAAACAGCGGGAACTAGCGAATCCCCAAAGGAAAGCGGAGTGTGTGTTACCGTAGAAACAGGCCTGGACTAGGCTGACATTCCTCCTCGGGCACCATAACCTCCCCGGGGCTTTCTCCAGCTGATTTCAAAGCATCTAGGTCCCCCGAAAACCTAGCATTTCAGTTCTACCGAAACAAGGGAGGCCAGCCGAAACCAGTTTGGCTCAGTGAATAGAGCGTCAGCCTGCAGACTGAAAGGTCCTGGGTTCGATTCCAGCAAAGGGCATGTACCTCAGTTGCGGGTGCATCCCCAGTGGTGGGTGTGCAGGAGGCAAAAGATCGATGTTTCTCTCTCATTGATCTTTCTAGCTCTCTATCCCTCTCTCTTCCTCTCTGTGAAAAATCAATAAAATATATTTAAAGAAAAAAAAAAAAAAAAGGGAGGCCAGTTGAGGTCAGAATGTGGCATGCTGGGAGGAGTTCATCCTTCATTTGGCAAATATTTAGTGTGTCTATGAAATACCAGGAGGACCTGTTAAATCAACGGGGCTGGCTGCTGCAGACAGAACGTAACTCGGACTGACTCGAGGACTGCAGGGAACTCTGCCGTCTCAGCACTTGATGAGCTGTGTTGGGAGATTGGTAAGAGCAGGGAGTAGGCACCGACCCCTTCCCTAAATGCTTCTTGGTAGAACTCAGCTGCAAGATCCAAGGTCATGTCCTTGAACCTGCTTACTCATGCCAAACAGCAGGTAAGCCCCATCCCGGTGGGGACCAGGCTGCCTTTCTCTTGTTTGTGCCTGGGCTGCCCACCTGAGCGCCTGCCTGGCGGAGAGCAATTTCCCCATAAGTAACTGCTGACCGAACGAATGAACGAGGCAACCAATTGTTCAAAACGCAGC